ACGCGGAGAGCAAGCGCGCAGGGGAGTCACCGGGATCGCAATTCCCAACTGAGACGCGTCGACCTGGGGAAGCCTCCGCCAGGCGCTCCAGCCCCCGCTAGAGCCGGGACTCGAGCCGGGCGAGCACTGGGCTCCGAGGCTGCTTCCCCAGCCACACGCCCGAGCTCGGGCCAGGCCCGTTGCCACGAGGCCGCAGCGCGGGGCCTCCCCGGCCGGGTCCACAAAACCCGAGTGTGCGGCCTGCGCGCCCACGGTCACACCGCGCTCCGGCGGTACCGCACCGGGATCAGCCCCGGGGTCTCAGCCCAAGGCAGAGCAGGCAGCAGCGCACGGCAACGCCGCGGCTGGGGGACTTGTACTAGGGGGAAAATAAAATCAACTCATTGCTCCAACGCCGTGCTGGACAACAGCAAGATGTGGCAGGTATTTACTCTCATATAGACAACTGAACCTTGATCTTTCTTCCTCATCTTTCCTCCATGAAAGATCCCTTTACAACTGTCCTTCAGTGCCTCATGGCATTTCTCCTCATGGAAAGTGAAGTACTAGAACTGTAGACAGGAAACATAAACTTACAAACTTTGAATTAAACTTAAGCAAGTGCGTAGTGGCTATACAGAAAACAAGCTAAGATTGAATTACTGCTGGGGAAATGATCTCCTATCTTTCCAAAGCAGAGAAAGATTTACATACCGGTTGGTTCAAATAGTGCTTTTGGGTCCCTAGGCACAAACGGGCACTTACAAACACCTTAAGAAAGTGACACACTGAACGTTAAATATTGTCTCAGAAACATGAAAACAATGTAGTATTGGAGATCCTGAGGCTGACCAAAACAAAACCCTATTGTGAAATTTCTAAGCAAAAGGTATACCAACAACCCCCACACTGTTTGTGTTTATTAGACATGCAAACTTCTCTCCTATACAGCTGTTAAGCATTTTTAGGTATAAAAGGAGGAAAGTGTGTGCTGCTTTTTCCTTTAAGTGAAATTCTTTTCAAAGCTTTTTCAAAGTTAACACTCAAGTTTATCCAGGGTTCACGTCAACCTGCTCAACACAGCCAAGCCCAAAGCGGTGTCCCCTGCCAGTACTCCTGGGCCTCTCCGCACCAGGATAGGGACACGCTGAGCGCCAAGGTGGCTCGGAAGGGCATGAACGGCACCTAGAACATATCCAGGAGGACATCAACCCACCTACACAACCAGGCACAAACACCTGGTTCTGCGGCCCAGGGTGCAGCCCGTCTACCAAGAACCACCATTTCTAAAAGACATTAACACATACATTTTCCAGTAGCTACGTGATTGCAAGTGGCAGTCACTGAAAATATTTCTGTATTATGGATACTTCTAGCACTTTATTCAGTAATGCAGCTCAATCTCATCTAACACTAAAAGGTATTTAAGAAATCATTCAAAAGAGAACTACTGCTTATAAAAGATAGTAAAATTATATTGCCACTTAATCAAAACTAAACAAATAAGGCACCTATAAATTTAGGCACACAGTCAACAAGGCTACTACATGCAATTTATCCCATGATTCACAGAACTAAATAAATTTAATCTCAATTGATCATACAAAATTGTGGCACTTTATACTCTAGAAAATTAAATGTATTCTTCTCAATTTAGATATTCTCATGAAAATCTGATTGTGAGACAAGTGGAAAATAAATGCTAACCACCCACATCTAAAGCACTATTACATTTATCCCACTGATGAAGCAATACATTCAGTCAAACAACATTTTAATCTACGTCTTCAGTAAAAAAAAATTAGCATCATTTGCACCAAGCCTGAGGGGAGCATCTGATAGAATTCCTGTGTATTGCAGCCCTCTGGTCATGGAACAAAGTACGAAAAAGAGAAAGTAAGTAGCAAGAGTCCAGATATAAGACGCCAGGAAGAAGCATACAAAGCTAATCTCTTATTAGCCTTTAAAGTCCCCTTGGAAATGGTGAGCCCGGGGCAGCATTGCAGGACGCCCTTCCTGCCACTGCTTCTTTTGTTTGCACCACAAGACACCCCTCAAGTCAAGTCTTTCTCAACATGCCATATTTATCTCACACAGCAATTCATGTTTCTTCCCTTTAGACATTATTTTTGCACACAAAGAGCTTTTTTTTTCCCCACACACCTCCCTCCAAAGCCTTTGTTTCTCTCTCACTGTTGTAAACGCCAGATTCTCAAATTTGGGGTACTTCAAAAGAGCACCACTGATCTGTGAGATAGCTTATACTAGTCCTCTTCTAAAAAACCTTGACTGAAAAGTGGCTATTGTGTATTTAGCTTTATATCAGGCTATTTTTAACCTGTGTGGTTAGCTCCACAAGCTTTTCATTTAGCAACACCCTCTTAACCAACTATGACTGTCAAAAGCATGGGGTATTTTTTCATTAGGTACCTATTAATGCCTGGAGCGACTCTCCACGTCCCTCTCCCTCCTTGTGGTGGCTGGAAGCCTGAACACTATCTGCCATAGCCACGATTGCCAAGTCCTCTCAGGAACAGATGCCTCTCACTGGGATCGTCTAGATCTTTCTACCTAGAGTTGCCTTCCTGTCCCCAGCAGGGACATGACCTTAATTCACTGGGCTGGCTTGCGGCCACACTCCCCACCATGGCTGTGGCAATCTGGAGCTGCTAAAAGCTTCATTATTGCACGCAGATGGTGCACAAATTCTCCAAAGTAATTTGTGGAACCGCCGCAGTGGTGAGACTTAGACACTACTGCAGTAACAAAAGCAGTGTACAAACCCAGCTAGTGTTAATCAAAGCCATAAAGAATAAATAATGAATACAGACTGTTGAGATGACCATAGGATGCAGCGAGCACACCCTGAGGTGGGGTTTCAAAGCTCCTTCCTATGCCTAGATCAGATGCAAGAAGAGAAGGAGATGCAGCCTTCCCAAGTAAAACACAAGGGAAGACATTTCCCTTTCAACAGCTCAGTAGCCACACAACAACAGTAAACGAGTAACTGTTTAACTTGCATTTAACTTGCAACAGCAAGCAAAAACCACAGAACCCCCAAGCAGCATGTGCCAGAATTCCATAGGAAAGCAATCAAACAGCCAAAGAGATACTGGGGAGCCGGCATCCACCAGCCTGCTCACGAGGAGAAAGAAATCACTGAAAAGAGGCCAGAACCTTTTGAAGCAGCTGTCAGCACAGATCCTTATTAATTTGGGGCCGGCTGCCACAGAGGGTCATGAAAGCTTGGCAGAAATCAAATGCAGCTACAGAAATAGAGGTCGAAATTAAGAGAGAAGGAGCGCTGTACCATGAGTACTCAAACAGCCTTAGCGCATCTCCTGCTTGCACTGAAAGGCAAAGGTTTTACTGCAAATCCTTGAGCTGCTGCTCCATGCTACAGTAGTTACTATTCTCAGTTATACCATTTTTCAATGCATTTTAATGCAAATAACATGAACAGTCTGTGCAAGTGACGTATAAAATACGGCAGCACGTTCCAGGGCCGGCAAAGCAACGCACACCACGGCACCCGGCCGGCACGTGGTGAGCAGACGCTTCACTGTTTCGGACACGCTGACTCCTGTGCTTTGCGTAGCAAGAGTGCGACGAGCGCTTCCAACCCACCAGGGGCAGGTAATTTCCTTTGCTTCTGCCAATCACAAATGAGTGGAAAGTCTCACAGGTTTAAAAATTAATTACAGGACTTCTTTTTAGATCACAAAGGCAGTAGCAATACATGTCACAGATATGACCTCTTTCTTTCCAATACCAAAATATTGAAAGGGAGAACCAAATGACACTGTCAGCTACTTACTGGGCAATTAAAACAACACAACCAGAGTAGCTGTGACATACTCCTTGCCTGAGCATTCAGCCTCCACATTATTTGTATGATTTATGCACCATAAATCAGAGTTAAGAGTTCTACTATGCATATAGCCATAATCAGGAATTCAGATCAAGACTGTACTACAGTAAGAGAATGTAGAAGTATTTACGGCAGAACATTTTTAGCCAATCTTATGTGATTCTTTTAAAACATGTAGGATCCTTCCCACATGATTCCAGCAGAAATTGAATTTTCATTTCAGCCCTCTCTCTCTCAGAAAAAGGTCTTTTATTGGTCGTTGCAAATTTATGCCATCAGGACCTAGATACATACAAGGACTGATTCAGTCACTTTGCTTTTTAACTGGTGAACAATTAACTTCTGTTTTTCTTGTACTAAATTTACATTGTCAGCCATTCCTAACATAGTCCTTATAGACTTGCACATTTGATGAAAGCAATAAAACACAGCTTGTCCACACAGATAATGATCAAAACCCAACTTAGCATATTCAGGTTCTAGAGAGGGAAGAAACATTTCATTTTGTGACACTGAATGATGACTGCATATATGACTTTATTTTCTTTTCCTGTGTTACTGAGGTCAGCACTGACGAAGTTGAAAAGAAAAAAGATGTCCAGAGCAAACACGTCCAAAATGCATTGCTGCTTCTACCAAAATAGAAGTTGCAATATTAACTAGCCTTCGATCAACCTTAAGACAATATGGCAAAATTCAGCTTTCATACAGAAAACTGAAGCAAGCAAAGGAAATGAGCCCCCTGAATATCTCTTGATGATGAAACAATTAATAGAATATTAATTTTCAGAAGCTATCCAGAATTAGTCTCAGTGAGTAGGAATATGAAAAAAAGGCATTCTTAAACTAGAGGTAAGGCAACAATTAATACTGCATGCAGGGTGGTTTTTTTTTTTTTTCCTTCTCTGGAGAGAGGACTCAGTTATAATGACTAATTGATTCATTATATTCAGATGCACTCCTGAACCTTTCAGCAAGCGAGCGCACACTTGGAAATCTCTGTATTTCCATTCCTTCAGATGTGAAGGATAAAAACAAACGACAGAAAAACGTCATGCTCCTACCTTTGTGATGAGGATTCGGTACTTCTCCACCAGATGATCGTTGTTGTGACACCCCGCCAGCAGCTGCCACACTTCTCCTCGCAGAGCCTCGGGGACGCCGCTTCTCACCAACGCGGACAGTGTCTTTGGCCTCACGCTCAGATTGAGGTGCCTGGGAAGGGCAGCAGGAAGCAGACACAAACGTGTGAATACGTGAGCAACAACTGTGCTGTTGTGAAACAGCAAACGTGTACCATGATAGAAATTGCCAGATAGTTCTTGTGTTGTCAGCATAAGTCAGATTCAAGGCATGACAGACAGATTTGGGAAAGCACTTTCCAAACTATTTCCTTGATTCCTATTAAATCTGGTTAGAATCACAAAATCACACAGAATCCCAGAACGGTTGAGGTTGGAAGGGACCTCTAAAGATCATCTAGTTCAACCCCCCTGCTCCAGCAGGGACACCTAGAGCACGGGGCACAGGGTATATAAACATATGTGATAAAACACTGAACAGCTCAAAAGTCTATAGCTAAAACTAGAACTGGAGGACAGATCCCACATTGTGTAAAATCCAAAGAACTCTCTCTGAGCTTTAAAAAAGGGTCATGTATGTATGTATAATAATTACACTTACTGTACTTATCCTATAGTGTACAAATACATATGAATATTTATATTAAATATTTATTATAGATAAATATACAAATCCTCTGTGAACCCCTATAAACCTGCTTTGTCTTATCCTCAGATCAGAATAACAGTAATTCTTATGAATATGGGCATGAACTATGGCCATAAATTTACTAGATTTTTCCAAACTATTTAATTTTGAAATGAGAAAATGATGTGACTCACCACTGAAAATGAGCCAAATATTAAAAAAAAAAATCACAAAATACCATAATATACTTAATTGCTATAAAAATTTAATTATAAGATTATAAAAATCTAACATAAAACTACCTGAATCTGATTTTTATTATTTTCAATCCTCTTATATTAAAAGCTCAAGGATCATTACTTGCAAATACCCATTTTTTGTTAAGGGAAGCCCTTTAACACATATTAAAGTTGTTGTTGCCAGCATTAGCACAGAAGCGCTCCATATCCTCTTAGAGCTGCCAAAACATTTTCAATGACAGTCAGGTGGCTTAATTATTTTTCAGCCTTTGGAAGAGTCACAAAAAAAAAAAAAAAAAGTCCAAGTTGAAAGAGACTCTTATAGCAGCAGATGTGTAGAGCTCATTTCTAAAAGGCATGGGGAGGGGGCTGAGAGGTTGACACTTAATTTTAACCATAACCATACTCACAAATGTGAGAATTGCTGATGTCTGCTTTCCTAAAAACAAATTGGACTAAACACTTATTTGAAAAAGTATTAAATACATATAGAAAAATCAAAACTAGTATTTGATTGTGATAAGCTTAATTTTAAGAGAATCTTGGCTAAGACTTCACTTCAATACATTTCCTCATCTAAAGTTCATGGCTTAAACTAATCTCCGTTGTCCAGCTCCTTAGAGCTAATTTCCTATTCAGACCACTGACTGCTGCACACTCCTTGTTCTCTCTTCAATGTTAGGAAGGAGGAGACAAGAGCTGAAGCCAGAGTCCAAACGAAGCACGCACAAGCTCAACCTGCTGACACAGACCTCGTGTGTCACCATTTGTGGGAGGGGAAAATAATCAGAATAACGAAATAAAATAAAAATGATTTCTGCAATAATCAGCATTAATTTCTTAGAGCTGCTGAGATGATTCCAAAATGACGAATGGTCCTTCAGAAAGGAAGAACCACTGTCGCATTATCAACTGGACAGTGAAGAAACACTGTTCTCAGTATACTGGCATCTCGTACAGAAAAAAAGATGCCTTCTTAGCAGGCTCTGGACCCATCTTCCTTCAGCTGAAGGGAAGGAAAACATCTTTGCAATCCAAGTACCAATCTCCCATATTCTTAAGATACAGAAACTAAGATATGACAGCTGGAAGAAAAATTGTTTGTGAATTCCACAGGAGTTAAAGTCAAATGGGAGAGATCTAGGCAAAATAAACACAAAAGAAAGGATGCATTTGCTTTATCCTACTTAGGCGGTCTTATTTTTCTTTAAAAAATATGCAGAAGAGTAATACTTCTGTTTTAAAAAATAATCATCAGAAACAAGCAACATAAATGAATTTCTAGATTTTTTTTTTAAACATACACTCAGAAGCAAAAAATACTTAAAATGCCCTACTGAACAGATCGGACACTGTGCAGCCAGGGAGTAAGGGGTATTTACGGGGGATCAAGGAGGACTAAATCCACACTAATCTCATCTCAACTGGCTTCCAGAATTAGCGACAGCTCCAGGCAGAAGGAGCAAAGTCTGAGAGTATTCAGAACCGTGATTTTCAGAATGCATTTTTGCTACTTACCATTTGGACAGCAAATCTCCCCATGTCTCAAGAATCTTTTCTGCACACTCTTTGGAAACATCTCCAGAGCCACTCAAGAGAGGTTCATCATTGTCTGCCAACGGAAGAATAAAGGAGAAACTACGGAATCAGCAACTGCTTTCCCACCTCTGCAAATTTCAACCTTACTTTAATTGTATCAGTGTGTGGCAAGAAGAAATGCATCATTTGTGAAGGCATTGCTTGTGTGTTGAGCAAAGTACCAAAAACTCACCAGGCATTTCAGAATACAAGAAGATTACAGGTAACCAGATAACAGATAAAACATTAATGCAGCAGGTTAAGAGGAGAAACCAAGAGCTGAGTTTGCTCAGCCTTAAGAGGAGAAGGTTACTGGAAAACTTCAGTTACTAAAGGGAAGGGGATAGAAAAGATAGACTCTTTTTGGAAGTGTTCAGTAATGTGACAAAATGCAAAAGACGAGCTGCAGTGTGTGAAATTCAGGTTAAATATATGGAAAAAGTGTTTACCATACATTTCCAACTAATGTCAGCTTCTCATTTTTACTCTCAAATCTGTTGACAATTGCTCAGGGAAGGGCAGAAATTACACAAAATATTTGTGTAATTTTTTAACAGCCTCTTTTCACATTGTTCCAATATATCATACTCAAGGCTTCATGAGGTCTGAGTTGAACAAAGCATAGACAGGCCACAGAAGTGTCAAAGAAGGGAGAGGCTGATCAAGGAATACAGGGTTACTGGTTACTGAATACTCACAGCATTAAAAGAAGAAAAAATAAAAACAATAGGCCAGATTCTGATTGGAAAAGACTCAGCATGTTTTATAAATGCTATTTACTGACCACCCTGAAAAAGGCTTTTTTTTTGAAGTATACCAAACAAGCAATCCACATCTCACCTTCCTCTTCATCATCCTCAGGAGGAGAAGGAATCACTGAGCCTTGTGACCCAGACTGAGGCAGACGAAGAGAGGGGCTTGCTGTAGTTTTTCTTCTCTCCCTTTCTGATTCACTTTCCAGACACACAACTTCATATAGCGTGTCTGAGTTATTCTTTCTGTCCTTTTGCTTTATCTGGAAGATAAACAAATATTCAGTTTATTGAGAAAAGTTGTATCAACATCCAGATTACTTTGTAAGACTCTACCTTCTCTTTTTGCAAGGGCAGAGCTATCAAAACCAATTTTCATCACATTCTCCCATCAACAATGTTTAGTTTTCCAGTGTGCTTAAAGCATTGCTCAGGTCTACAAGCACTTCTTTGACTTCCTTTCCTCCTACCCTAACAGAAACAGTAAGCTCCTCCATCCAGGACGCAGACGGGTATTACAGAGAGAACAGGAAGGCCATGCAGGTCTGCTGTTCACAGGTAACTGTGCAGTCCAGTCTAGTCTAGATGGACTGGAGATGAACAGGGTAGATGTCGAAGCTGTGAATGCACCTACCCTGCAAAAGGTCTAAAAAGGTTTCTTGAATATGAAGCAATTCTGCCTTTAATTAAAGATCAGTGGAAAAACCTCCAAAATTAAACCTGTTTTTCCTGTTGAACTTTCCAGGGATGCTGGCATGTCCAGAAGGAGAGTTCTTACAGAAATTGTTCATATTTATTTTCCCACTATGGCAATTGTGTTTGGTGATTTTTTCTAAGATATCTGTATGTATACTGCTGACAACAACACAGGAACACACACTGTTGGGTCCCAAGGTCTGTTATGTGCCCTTGGTTCTTCTTTAATTTTCAACAGTATAAGACCATTGATTACCACTGAAACCATTCCATCATTTCCTGTAAAATGAAGGCTCTTATTTGTGAAGTGATTCCAAAACTTCAATACAGTTCAGGAAAACTGAACTTTTCCCCCCCACACACACAAATTAGGAAAAACAGATTAGAAAAGGAAAGGTAATAAAGAGGGAAAAATCATTTATATTTATACTCTTAAATTCCCTGTGCTCAATTTTATCCCTTGGAGCATCTAATATTAAGAGAAGCCTAAAAAGACTAAGTCACTAAATGTAATCTGCAAAAATAAAAGCCCTCTGTTTCCACTATTTCCGAAAAAAGAAAGACTGCCCAAGTAAGATAAGCCAATTGTACACAGCTGTATTTCTAATAGTCCAATTATGCCTCTATAGAAACAGGTTTCCCTTCCAGGCTTATCAGGCACAACATTTCATTTGTTGCTTCCACTATGAATTTTGATAATCTTCCATTAAGTAAACACTGGAAGTTGAATAACCTGACAGTGCCTATGGGAAAAAAAAAAAAAAAAGAATTAGCTAAGTCCCCATGCATGTGAATTTAGTAAGACAAAAGATACAGAATTAGCTAGACAAGATAAGCTTCCTTTAAACTACCAAGCAGAAAAGGCGCCTATTGGAGGTGGAAAGATATTTATAGATGAACTGCCTTAATTGTTCAACATCTCTATGCTGCACATCAGAAATACTCTAAATAAAAAGCATGATCTCATCCATGAAGATTTTTTTCCACCTTGTATTTTGAAGGAAAGTTTCCAAAATGTTTATTCATAACTGTGTCCTAAATGATTACACAGCTATTCAGTAGATTTTAAAGCTTCACACGGGGAAAAAAAAAAAAAAAAAAAATCCCACCAAACTACATCTTTGTTACTACAAGGAAATAATGCCACTGTTGAATAGCACCTTACCACAGGTGCAAAAACAAACCAGAGAATCCTCCAATTTCATTCCATTTCTCTTTAAAAAGTAAGAGGTATCAAGAAATAAGCAGGAAATCTTGCCTTATTGGGCTCTATCCAGAATTATTAAACCTGGAGAGGTTTATGAGTGACTATATTTTTCCCACAAGAGAAGATTTGGGGAATGTGTGAAAGTTCTGCTTCCAACCATGTAGAAGGGGGAATTGCTTTCCCGACATTATCAGGTTTTTGAGATGATTGAGGTGAGAAGCTGAAAGCTGGTAGGTCAAGTATTAAATTTAATCAATTCTGCATTTCGAAGTTTTATTAATTTATTAATTTTATTATTTATCATTCATCTTCAAGAGCAAAATACTGAAGTCTAAAAGTCACATCTGTAAAAGCTTTACCGAATACAGACAGAAACAACTACACTGAAGTTCTGACCTTCTCCCAAATCAGTCCACATCAGACTAAAGGAACAGGTGTAAATATTCCCCTGGAATATTTGCCAAATCAACTGTAAATTAAAAAACAAGCAAACAGACAGAAGTGTTACCTGTTTGAGTTTTAGGAAAAAGTTTTCTGTAGAGCTACGTTTGCTGAAGGGCCAGAATAATCGCTCATTAGGTGAGCAAACTCTGACTTTAGTCTCCAGAATGAATCGAACAGGCTCCTGAACCTCCGTTATCACCAAATCCACCGCAGTAGTCATGAACAGTATTTTATCTAGAGGAAAAAGAAAGTAGATCTATCTATAGATACTGCTTACCTAGCAGTAAAACTATTGAATTCAGACGCCCATAATATAAAATTTATCCTACTAAATGTAAAAACTACAGAAAAGTCTTCTTGCAGGATTCATCTTAAAAAAACATAAATTGACACAATCCCCACCAGTCACTTGCTCAGCCTAGAAATAAAACCTGGCAGAGCTCATACCTTTTGGTGTTTCTTCATTTACAAACTGAAAGTGTGGAGACTTTTGATTCCAGCTCCCAGTGATTACATACGATTTTCCATCAGAGCTTTTACCCATGGACTCCTGTGAACAAGATAATATTTTTGTGTATATATATAATATATATAATTACAGCAAACTGTACATTATGAAGCGTCTCAGCCCCATAAAATAGCAACTGCACTAGTAAGAGAAGGGCAAACATCTGAAGTCTATGTTATGTTGTCCTATAACAGACAGCTCTGAAGAATTCCCATGCAATCTTTGATCTCCTAGGTGCTATTATAAAAAGACCAATTAGACCAAAAAGATCAAAAGACCGATATTAATTCTTAGTGTGAAGATGGAAAGAACATCTATCTAGTAAGATTTCAAGAGAGATCAATAGCTCATTTTGGAGATGGCTCTTTGTCAGCAACTTTAGCTCACACAAATCTAATCACTTTCTAAGTACTTTAGACTTACTGCAGCATCAACCCACATGAACAAGTGGGCATGAGCATCTCAACCTTTTCTATCTGTTTTGAGGTCACACACAATCATCATCATAATTACTGAATTTTGAATACAGAAAAATCTTACCAAATCTAAAAGATGCATGTCACCACTCCGCACATCTTTCCCACGGCTGAGGAGGAGGCCAAAACATCTGCAAAAACAGGCACAAATTAATCTGCAAAACTCAGACTTTTAAAACATTTTAAAAAGACATTTTAAAAAAACATATTAAATTACCTCTCAATAGCAAGTTCCTTATTAGTGGTCTGTTGAACGTAAATCACTATCTTCTTATCAATTCCTTGGCGGAGTTTAAAGCATTGCCTGTCCTTGTCTTTGGGAACTGCGCTGTTATTGTTGTTGGGGAACTGCGGTGTTATTTTCAAGGGAAAAAAAAAAAAAAAAAAAAAACACTCAGAACATCATTTATCTGTATTCCCTGAATGTACCAAAAACAGCATCAGACATTCGGTGAAGTCAGCTTCTTATACAAAAGCACTCGAGACCTTTCTTTCTTGCATACTGCAATCAGTAACATGAAGGAAATGACAATATAATTAGGTGATTGTATTTTATCATAATTAGGCAAAAACCAAGGACACAACTTTCAAAATAAACACTACTGTTTATATTCATATTCTGCAGCTTATTCTTGTGAGACTTCCAGCAGCATTTGAAAAAAGTTTCTAAATACTGATTCCCCACATGACATGCACATATTTGTTAAGTAATTACTCATCAGAGCCTGTACCACCTTCCTTCATAAGGCAGGTTGACTACTGCAGCACATAAGCCAACAAGCCAAAAGGATGACCCAATCTTTAGACTGAGAATTTTACTTCATCTGCTCACTCACGTCTCCCTTAAATATAAAAATAATCTTTATTTTATTTCAGACTTAACCTGTGCATTGGGACCGCTCGGATTTGCAAAATAGGCTGCGTAGCACAACCCACAGTTCAATATCTCCAACCAAAATTAGGTTTATCTTCTGACAGCAGTTGCTTACCCAGACCAGGGAACTGCAAACTACCTTTAACTGTCAGCAACTGCTCCGTGTGCTGGGGCAGGACAGGAGATCCACACCCTGACAGCCGTGCCTGCAGTCAGGCCTCATTTCCCCAGCATGACACAGCTGCATTACCAGTGACCCAGGAAGACAAACTAAGGTAGATAAGACAAGATCAGGTCTGCAAGATTAAAGACTAAGATCAGAGATGGCCTTTGTAGAAGCCTTCTCATGTTCTAGGTCACTAGGGGTCTGCACTTGAAGGGTCAAACACAGATGCGCATCAAGCTGCCAGAGCTGTTCCAACTGAAGCTCCATCTGCACAGTACATACAGCAGAGGTAGGATTCTGCATAGTCCAAGACAAAACCCACTTTTCTTCACTATGGATAGAGCACGTAGGCACATGGTTCTTAAGCAATTGCCCTTTAGCTCCCCTAAAGCAACCGCATCTTTGGGGCTGAAAAGACCTTTCAGTGTTAGGCCACAGCAAAGCTGAGGTTCAATGGGCTGGCGTGTCCGAGCGGGCGACGACGGCAGCAGCTCCCGGGAGAACCACCCCATGCTGCGCGGAGGCGTTCGGTGCTGGGCTGGCTGCCAGCCCCGCGCTGCCCCGGCCACGCTGACCGCAGCACCGAGGCAGCAAGCCCGAATTCCACCTGGCACATCACTGCGTGCACCAGCCTGGGGCTGCTGCTGCGCACAAGGATCACCCAGGCTCAGGCCCTTAGCTAAATCATTTTTCAGTTTCTGATACTTGGGTAGTGCTTCGGATTGTCTACAATGGAAGATGCTAAATAAATACTGGATTATTAAATGTGATTTTTTTTCTTATTAAATAAAGCTCGAGTAAATACAAGAAGAGAAACAACCCTGAAGTCCTGGCTACGAGCCAACGTGCTCAACAAGTCAGAGTATTTGGCAGACATACAGTACTGAAATAAAGACACTTGAGCAATTACAGAACACTATAAACGGTTACATGAAACATCTGAGGACACTGTACATAGGCTGAGTAAAAAGAATAAAAACACACTTTTAGCAATAATTAAAGACAACCTTTTAGAAAACAAAGTTCTCCAGTAATGGGCATACAGGAAAACAGCCCCAGCTGACACAGTGTGAACAGCTGACCAACACCCCCACTTTACATTAACACCTGCACTGTGGGGAAGGAAGAAATTAGGGCAATGGAGAAAAAAAAATAAGGGGATTTTGAGAACCGGGACAGAGAAGACTGCAGCTGTACACAAATAACGTCTTTCAAGACATATCATTTCCCCTACAAGATTTCAGCTTGGACTATGCAGCTCCATTTTTTTTTCTCCAGAAGAAAGGCTCCAGACTGAACTATTTTTGCTAACCGATTACACTTACCAAGTTCCCTAGAACCTTAAGTAACCAACAATTTTAAGAAATATTTTAAAATAATATTTTACATTAAAATCTAAGTCTGTTGATCAAAAAAAATGTATTATATGGTTGTGTGCAGAGACAAACGTCTGGAGAAAAAGAATACATCAGAAACAACCACACTTTCATCTAATTTTATGGCAATGTGGCCCTTGGCAGGCAGCATCAGATTCAGTTCAATGAACAGGATGGAAGAGTTCAGAAAGTCATCATCGATGAACAATTTGATTAAAGTAGGAAATTTTCAAAAGGGAAATGAAGGAACCATCTCAGACCCACACTCTCCATTCACTCACCTTCCAACAACAGAAACGGATGCTCTATACAGCAAATGAAGAATCTATACCTGAAATAACCTTTCCCGTCATCTTCTTTGATTTCCAGTGACACCGAGAAGGTGAAAATATCACTATCTGGAGTCTGTGGGGTGGCAATGGCCGAGAGTGGAGTTTGTTTGGCAGAACGACGGAAGGCAGTGGCAAAGCTGTAAAGTATTCGGCTCACCTGCATTTAGATGGCACCAAAGATAAGAAAGGAGAGGATGTAAAGGATACAAGAGCTGAAAACTTATCACGTTTTCTCTAAATAACAGAATGAGAAGTAACTGTAAAAATGATTGAGGTTCTAGCATTTTATATGTTTCTTCAAAGGATAAACTATTAAATCCACATTCCTATTTCAGGAGTAAGATTTCTATAATTTTCTTAATCTATAGTAGAATACAAACAAGAGTGATGAAGCAGATTACTCTCTCACTCCCAAAAGGCCTGAAATAACCACCTTTTTTTTTCTGGAAGAAAAAAATATTTCCATTCTATCTCAGTAATAATTTTTGCATCTAAAAATGTTATCATAAAAAAAAAGACGAAACAGATAAGAAAAGATTAAACTTACAGCCTCTTGGATTTCACATTGGAAGACATGAATCATGAAGATTTCGGCATTGTGGTGACTTTCAGTGAAAGCAAAGCAATCACTTTCAGGGGTTCCATCATGCCCTCGTACACAGAAAAGGATTTTATAGATTGGATAATTTGCTATTTCTGCATTTGATTGAGGATCAAAAAGTCTGTTAAAAGACACAGAGAAAAAGAGAAAAAAAAAGCTGTCAGCTTTAGCAGAATTACTTCAGCCAGCTATTAATTTGCAAGCCTGAAAGACTTCACAACTGCTGAAGAAAGTACACTACAAAGACACTAACCTCTGATTATCATTTACTGCAAAGCTTGACCAGAAGAATTATATTCGAATTGCAGAGTCTGAACACTTACAATGCAACACACCTTCACCAAGAATTTCCCCATAGTTTTCAAGGCTTAACCTTCAAATAGCTACGCTAACATACAGCGGTGGAGGAACGTTTAAGTCAGCAGCCCTCAGTTTCCCAGTAAGCTCTTCATCATTAAGCCACTATTTTTCAGCCCCAAAGAATGAATTTGAACTATTGCATTTGGGGCGCCTTGGCTCAATCATTTTTGATACTGATGCTTGAGCATGAAATGCCTTTGGTAAACAAATTCAAATCATCACTTTTCCTCAGACATCCTTATACCCATTTCTTCCACTAAAAGAAATCTCAAGTTGTTCATGTCCCATCCCCAGCCTCCCAGCAAGGTGGGGTTTATCTCCTTTTTTTGGTAGGTGGGATTAAGATTAAATGCACAAAGTCACAGGGTGGAGCTGAATGAGCTTCATACCTCACTGTTCCTTCAGAGACATTAGGCACTGACAGAGTCACGATTAAAGAATTCTTGCGCTCGCTTCGTAAGACCGACATCATTCTGAGGGCTTCCACTTCACTCCGTGGAGCGTTGACCGAGGAACAGCCTAAGTAGATGAGCTTGCTAAACACCACGCTGTCCTCATCTGTCATCGGCGTAAAAGGGCTCAAATCCCCACAGTCTAAGGTAAGACACAAAGGTACAACATAAGAAGCAAGATAAAGCATACATGAATAAATTACTATAGACAGACTGGATGCTAAGAGCATACTCTTGTCGTGCTTCTTATAGACTAAGAAAAGTGTTACAAAAAAAGTCAAAATACTAGAGAAAATCCTAGCAAAGAGAGCAAAGCAGCTATCCAAACTTTACAGCTTAACTCATGCCACAGAGTTTCTTCCCAACATAAAAATGCACCAATTTTCACTACTGCAGTAAGATGCAGACAAGCTAATATTTTACACAGCTTTACACAGCTAGGCATATTTGTGCAAAATACACAGCTTAAAACTAATGGCAAGTATTTCCAGAAAAGGCAACAAATCAGTATATGCTAACTCCTACATTGCATAACCTGCAGCTTACTGCTCTAGGTGATAATGAGGGGAAAAAATGGGGAAAGGAGAGTAGACACACCAAAATTATCCTTCCTTTCCCTAGATAAAGCTAGTTTAGAAAGTACTACCAGAAATTCCTTGTTTTTTCCTAACCTCCCTGTGATGGGTTGACTGGCAAACTCATTTCTGGTTTCTGAAGTCCTGCCACCGACACTGGGTTAATAGTAGAGGATGCTGAAGCCTCAAGGACAACAGGTTCTTCCCCATCTCCATCAGTCCTAACTTCTTCGCCATGGTCCCGCTCATTTGACTGATCTTCAATGGGTGGATCCATCAGCACGTCTTCAAGTTCCTTCTGCAGCTCCTGCTCGCTTCCATTGCCCACAATCTAAGAGCCACAAACAGAGTTGGGATACAAAAGAGACTGTTCAAACGGAGGAACTCTCTAATGCACAAAGTCAGTCATAGAGCTTCTTCTGTCAATCAAAACTGTCATTAACAAGTTTAAACAAGTTACAACTGTAATTTTAACACGAACTGTGGTGTGCAAATCCTTATCAGAATAGATTATGTCCCCCATGCTTAAACCTAACAAAGGGTTTCCTCAAAGCAGGAATTTTCTAATGCTGGGAAAAGGTAAGAGATTCCTTTAAAGCTAGTCTATAATTACAGACTGCACACACTAGCTTATTCCACAGGAAAGTAACAGAGGTCCACAGCACAGTGGTCTACAGCAAATCTCAGAACAGTAACAGGAAGTGCCAAATATAATGAAATGTGTTACATGGTTCATGAGTAAAACAGCAAGATGTCATAGGAAGAGAAGGATATGGAACAGGATTATGCTGTTATGCTGAAAGGAGTAGTGTTGTTTTTCTTCTTAACACTCATCTACAGCCTGAATTTGTAGGCATGGAAGCCCCTCGCAATCTTAAATGGTATAAAATCAAGTCTTAAGCTAGGAAGAGGTTGTAAGAAGACGTTAAGCTAGGAAGCTTTAAAACCTCAGTACTGAAATAAATTCCATCTGCCTCACAACCAGTATCCCCGGGTAGGCCATTAGACCATCTTTGAAAGTATCTGAAGTAATGGGCTTAAACCCTAAATATGGCAACCTGAAGTACATTTGAGATTCCTCAGATAACTCTGGCACCGATAATAAACCACTGTCATACACACTGAACTGCCTTGCAATAAATGAAATAACTGAAATATACTATGACAGTAGAACTATTTTGACGTGCACTTCCATTGGACGTATCTGAGGACTAGTGTTGGTGAGAATACTCAGCAGTCTCTCTGCTGGACCAGAATTCCGACACACCATCAATTCCCTCCCATCTCCAAACACAAACTTCTTAGCTCAAGAAGCAAAAACCATCAAACTGTCTTTTCTCTCTTTCATACTCAGGCCCCCGCTGACAAAGTAGTTATCTGACCCTTTAGTCTCTACCTAGGTTGCATTAAAGGTGTAAACTGCGCATTAGTTTTCTTGTGAAAAATAACAGTTTAACATATGGGAATATTAACAAAGGACAGAAAACTATGACCTAGGGTTTACATAGTACAATAAATTATGATAAGTCACAGATCCCTGTTCTTTGTATACAAAAACTGAAATTCAGAGAGAAAGGAGAAACCAGCAAGCACATAGGAACCTAGAGTCAAGAGGTATAAAAGATCTGGTGAACGCTACATTGCAGAATCTAATATAAATATACATACACACACACACTTTTATATAAGATGTTTATGCTCTAGAAATTCATGTTTGAACAGAAACTACCTTTCTAATATGGATGAAAATATGTTCGTGTGTTATCTGGTATCACTGGCCAGAAATAGAACAGAGATCTTGCTCAGCTGTACGTCCAGAGAAGCGTCAACGACCTGCAGCTAGCTAGGAAAACCTGCAGATCTACATTTCCCCCTCAGCAGGGCTCACATTCGTCTGCATGATTCAAGCAGAGAAGCAATAAAAAAAACTTGCACAAGCATGGGGTGGTCAAAGACATAATCCCTTACAGAATCGAGTTTACTATCTAGATTTCTTTGAGCTTTCCTCAACAATGATGATGAAAGATGCTACATGGTATTTTAGTGTACACAGTTTACACATTTTTCAGCAAGATAGAATGAATTAATCATAATGTCCCAACAGCCTCATTAAGGTCTGGACATTAAAAAATACTAAAAGTACTACGGTAACTTCCATTTTACAAGAAACTTAAAAATAATTATGCCAAAAATCCACACATCATATGCATTTACTAACTGATGACAATGATTAAGACAAAAACTTTCTAAAAGTAGCAGAAACAGGTAAAACACAAGTTACAAAACACTTTGCTACAGTGAGACTGAAAGCAATCTTGTAAAAAGATAAAAAATAGAGGGGGGTTAAGGCTTACATAAAATGTTAGCTAAGAGCAACAGTAGACATCTCTAAAGTATTGGCTGGATCTAGTCAAATATTTAATTTTTACATAAAGATAAACAAAACCATCGCCTGTTAGCATGTATTTTAAGAGGCAAATCTAGATTTAACCACTTTAACAAACCCAAGTAGACAAAAATAATATGAAGTAAGCGAAGCCCACAGCAGCAGTGCCCATAGGGCAGTTCCTTGCCTAGTAAATATTCTAAGAATTCCTAACCAAAACCTCCCATTTAAAAAGCAATTAAAAATAATTTCCCTCTAGAAAACCTCCCAGATTGCCCTGAAAAAAAAAATAATAAAATAATAAAAATAAAAAAAAAACAGAGGAACATTGGATATGCTTTCAGACTGGAGGATCTCTGCTGCTTATCCCATAGTCCTATCAAAGTCACAAAACTGAAGATTAATTTTACTCAAGTTTTATGTGGCCTTCTTTAAAGTATTTTTACAACAGCATGAGAGATTGAAAACACGCATTAGTTCAGATCTCTACTACTTAGACTACAGCATTTGTGGCCTTCTTTAAAACTATTTTTACAACAGCATGAGAGACTGAAAACACACGTTAGTTCAGTCCAGATCTCTACTACTTAGACTACAGCATATCACAGCACTGACAATGAGAGCCTTACATACGATGTCTGCTCAATGTTGTAGGTTGTAAAAACTGCACAAAAACCCCAACTCCCAGTGCCACCCTCACACTGTGCTTAGGCAGTGCCTGTACGTCCCCAGGCTGCTTTTGGGGGTAAGAAGAACATCAGCTTCTGCTCTGTTTTGATCCCCCACTTCTCTCCTGCTTTCTTTGCTAAGCACATGATAGCAAACGGGTTTTGACATATGCAAACTATTCAACTTGGTTACACATACAAAAGCAATTCCTCCTCCTGGAAAAAAAAAAAAAAGTATGCAAACTATTCAACTTGGTTACACGTACAAAAGCAATTCCTCCTCCCGGAAAAAAAAAAAGAAAAAATAAACACCTTCTCACCAATTATCCCTATGAAATGCACAACCTTGGCTCTCATTTTGTAGCGCTAAATGATTTTTCCTTACACTAGTACTTAGGCACTCTAGATCCTGTTGTGGCTGTACTGTAACACCTCCGGCAGCCTTCACAGCTCCACTTACCCGCTCAGAGATAAGCAGCTTAGTGCAGTTGGCTACTGAACAACTCCTGCACGCTGGAGAGACTTCAGCAAAGCCGCACTAGCGTGGGCTCACCTTTCCTACAGGTCATTAGCAAAAGATGATTTCTGTCCCTAGGGGCACCTAAAAAATCCTCTGGTTCTATCATTAATAGTTTGTACCTCCTTAAGTAGACGAGGAAGGTTAAAAGGAAACTCCTGTATAAGAGACTGTAGACTGGGCACTGACAGCTTATCTAAAGGGCAGTGTTGCCATTAATCACTCAGATTGTCACCAATGAGGAAACACAACATACTCTCAAACGAGGGATACAGGAAAGCTCAAGGTGAGTCACTCTGCTCAAGGACTAGGCTCAGTCTGGACACCAAATTCACGAAGAAGCTTATCTTGAAGACCTGCAAAAGCCCTGTGGCAGCCAGTGCCAAATCAGGGAGCAGCACAACTTAACTTTCTAATTGCTGATAATTAGAAAGCAGTTCTTCCCTCAGCAAAAGGAACAGCATACCTGTAGGCAGGATTTTGTAAAGCACTTCGAAAATAAACAGAAGGGAAATAAGTACTAAAGTATGGAAAGTAAGAACCACTATGCAGAGTATTCTGAATTCTCAAGTATTTATAGCTGCTGGTATACAGATTTTAAAAAGCAAGAGGTTCCAGTCTTTCAGCAGGTTTTACAGAAAACCAAGCTGATTATTCAAGAAAACCTCAAATTTCTGTAGACTCTCCTGTGATGTGAAATACCAATCTTTCTCAATTGCAATAAAATTTAAGTCAGCTTCTTTTTTGCCAGATTAAACAAAGACAAGATCTTGAGACTCTTAACCATCAGATTTAGCAGTCAGTAAGGGTCTTATGTAAAAGGAAGTATCCACTATAATGGCATATCTTGCCCAGGTATCAAAGCAATGAAGAACAACAATCAGCTGGTGGCAAAAGCAAGATGAGTAAAGGCATCAAGAAACGTTCAGTAAAGTCTCTGTTCTGACAGCTGCTAAGGAAAAGATGAATACCCAGTCCAACAGACTGGCAAAAGCAATTCTTGAATAAGTCCTCTCTTCTGTCAAGTTTTCCACACTAGAGAAGTCCCTCTTTAAGCTCTTCTATGGTTAGTTTGGTTTAGAAAAATAGAGAACAAACTCAAGTTATTGATTCTTACCTTCAGTCCTGTTTTTTCATCATCACTACCATTATTTGTAGATGGTGTTTCATCCCCTTGCCTGGAAACCAAGACAAAATCTTCACTGTTAAGAGTGGATACCGAGTCTGAAGAGACACTGATTTTTCCAACAGAAGCCTTGTCATCCATGACTTAAAAAGGAAGTTCGACTCATGAATGAGATTAAGTATTTTATAAAATCCTGAAAAACAAAAATCATAAAAATACTTATATAAACTTTATGCTGAAAAGCTCAAATGTTTGTTTTCTGAAGCCTCCTGACTATTAAAAAATAAAAAGCAACATATCTAACAGCAAAACACCTGACAACTCTTCTACGTTCACCTGAGGCCATGTCTGGATTTTGCCATGAAACACACTACTTGTAGGGCACGGGTTTCCACAGCTCACGCACAGGAAGCCAATAAATCTCTTTTCAGTAGTCCGTGATTAGATCCAACACCATCCTGCCCTGAGCAGGTCCTTGAAGCACATGCTACGCCTGGTGTTAATGGACTCAGATTAGGACCAGAACTATATAAAGTTTATTTACTTCCTTCAGATAACCTGTCTGCATCTATGATCAAAAGTTAATTTTGAAGGTATCAGTGCACACCGATTACTACACTGCTGTCACAGTCTCTTCCCCCAAACAAAAATAGTTACATGTGACTCTTGATATTTTGGGCAAAAGACACTCTAAAACGTTGGGACAAGTCGTGTCCTATGATCTGTGCTGAATCTTCCGCATTGTGCAGAACAATAAAAGATTTCCAAGAAGCAGGAAGAACAACGTAGGCTGAATCTGTACTGAGAGTTAGGGCCAACAGACAATTTAAAAATGCTGGAACTGGCACTGAGACACATTTGAAGCAAGGAACAAAAGGTGAAGTTCAGCTGCACACCTTGAACCCAACTGCAGTGGTTCTCAGAATCCCTGGCTCCATGCAGAACGTCATGATAAAAATGGCTTATTAAATTTCTCAGAATCCCAATTTCACCCTTATCACAGCGCCATTTTTTTTTTTACCCTTATCACGACGGCTCGGGTCGCTACACGCTCAGAAACATGCCCGAGCCTGAAGGTTTCCCCAGCCCGGGGCAACGAGGGAACCTGCCAGCTCCGCACGCTGCCCTCCGCACCGGGAACGGCGCCGCTGCAAAGAGCCGAGCCTGGTTTTATTTCTGCAAATACCCTTCCCCACAGCCACCAGTGACACATGAAAACCTGTCAGGAGATCAATAATCTTTTTTTTTTTTTTTTCCCGGCCCCCTAGGTGATTTTTAAATCTGAATCCTTCCTGATTGTTGCTCTGTGACCCTGAAACATGTTACACTGGCACAACCGCGAGAGGCAACAGTACACGAGAGACAGGACACGGGTTGTTCACGCACAGTGCCCTAAAGGTGGGACACCAGCCTTTTTTTTAAAAAAAATAAAATTTTATTTAAAGAATTCACATTAAAACCTTTCGGTAAGAGTTCTTCATTATACTACCTACACCATACACAGAACACGTAAAAATAACTAAATTGAGTAAAGTGAAGCACAAAATAAAAATATGCTTCAAACATTTAATAACCCTTTGCCTTTACTATTTTCATTCAAGCAGTACATATTCATATCTGCCACTCTGCATGACTGCACGAGCCGAAAAGCTGGCTTTGATCACAAGCAGCTATAAAGATCATCTAGGCACGGATCAATTCAGCAATTTATTCTGGTATGCCGGGTCTGGCTTGAAATGTTAATTCCATCCATTTCCAAAGTCTTTCCACCTGGCGCTTTTTAACAGTATTAACTTCACTTAAAGACAAATCTTTTGCCGCGCTTTTGCACACTTCTTTCAGCACAGAGTGGTGTAAACAGGTCCCGCACTCGATCCCGGGGTGCAGCTGGCCGAGCCCAACCCTGCAGAGGTTTCACAATACAGAATTGCAACAGCAGAAGGTCCCGATTAGCCCAATTTTGCCAACCTTACAGCGAGTAAAAGTCTCACTGAAATTACATGAGATAAAAAAGAAAACTGTAAGAATCTCTTGTAGATTAGCGAGGCATCGTCAGGCAAGGCACAGCTACCCAACCACTGTGGAACCAGTCACAAAATTCAGGGAATTCAAATAGCAAAAATACTAAAATATTGTCCTAGGTGAACCAAAATTTCCATTTTCGCATACTCTGCTTTCTATGTATTTTATTTCCTCCACATTTTACTTTAGATCACTTTGTTTTGCACCGATTGCCTCTCTAATGATTTCACCTACATCATAAACCTCACAACAGCAGAGCCCACCACAGAAAGTTCACGAGCTTGTTAAAACAAAGCCAGTCAAGAAGGGCTCGCACCGAACGCCTGCCCGGCCATTACACGTGGCAGGTCTAGGGCTCTCCTGGAAACGCGCGGGGGCCGCAGGGCTCTTCAGCAGCACCTGCCGCTTGTCCGAGAAACTCGAGCTTTCTGTTTGCAGTTTAGGGATTTCGAAGGAAAGACCCCCCAGCTATGTGCAGATCCCAAGTTTTCATGTTCCTCAAGAGAGCCAGTGTTTCACTCCTTGCAATGAAAGAGGCCCTGGTTTGTTTCAACACAAATAAAAAAGACATTTCCAATTCAGCATAGTTTAGTTCTTGACACAAAACTACACCACAGCAGTGTAGCATTTGCCTGAAGCTGTCTTCATGTCTCTACGGCAGACAGAATGTCTAGGCAAAACGCATACTAAGAAGCTAATTTTTAACAACTCATTTCTTTGCTCAGCTCTGTAATTAAGAGGTACCTTGTCTCTCCTCCCACGAAGAGCAAAAAGCTCTTTGGAAAAAGCTACAAAAGGAGGAGTGACATGTCTGGCTCTTGGGTCACTGTTTTCAACATTATTTTAAATTCTAATTCTGAACACAATTCACCTTCACTCTGTACTTGCTGTTATTACATGAGGCCACAGCACAAGGCCAGGAATCAAACTATCTTTTTTTTTTTTTTTTTAATATTCCTGTTTATCTCTAAAACAATCAAAGAGCTGTACCAGCTTCCCTCACTCTATCAAGTTAACGTTCAAAAGAACAGCACTCACCATGCTAAAATCTCAAAGGATTTTAGGAAGCAAACCCACAAAACTCATGATTAGCTCAACAGCTTTATAATATACATGTATTTTTCCTGCTTACCTGCTCTCAATATTTGGCACCTGACTTACAAACTGTGATGAAGACTTTCCTTGTTAAATATTGCCAAGAATAATTTAAAACAACAGAAAGCAGATTATATATATACACAATATATAACGAAACCTTCCATTTTACACCAATGCCTGAATGCCACCTTGGTACATGCGCAACTGCTCAGGCAAGGCACCAGAAACTGCAGCTGGTTTCACTCCATTTCCAAGGAGACACCTGGTTTGCCCGACTTGGGACACCCACAGCTCCGCATAAAGCCACAAGGTGAACGGAAAAAAAATCAAAGCATTTCTGCTGTGAATTTCCCTGACCTTTTAAAACAGAAGTTACCTTGAAATCAAGGTTCTTTGACTTTTTCTCTTTTCACAATTTAAATATCATAAATTAATTGTTTTATAAATACACAGTCCTAGCAAAAGCCCGGCGAGTGCTGCAGTACACTGCTGTAGTTACAGGCAGTTGCACCAGGTGTTTTAGTGTGAGCAGCATGAGAAATCTGAGAGCAAAAACCCATGTCACATGGACAGACGTGTGGAGAAGGAGCTGCAGTTTGGTGTTTTCTGAGCATATATACAGAGCCTGCATTTTATTGCAACTTTGCGAAAAAAATGTATGAGGAAGATCGATCCCTAGCAATCTTCTTCTAATATATCACATGATTAGGCTGCCTTATATGTTTCATCTGTACATCCTCTCTAAAGGAAACAACTACAGTCTTTCTACTCCATGCAAAATATATTCTCAAAAGGAATAAGAAATATTTTTTACACTTAAAATGAAGCAAGAAAGTCACTGGAATGAATATTGCACAAGAAAATAAAGACTTAGAACAACCAAAAAGAGTAATTAATCTTTTTTTTTTTTAAAGTATCAACAGCAACATTAACTTTTCTGTTTATTTTAAAATATTCCAACAGCCACAAATGTTCCCCCTCAACAGCCAGATAAGAACAAGGTATTTAACTGAAGATAGCACTGCCTCAAACTTCAAACCCTTGCTCTTTCCGGAGCATTCAAGCACAGATCTCGGGAAGTGGCTGGGTTGTTACCCAGGACGCACAACCCCGGAGTCACACAAAAGCTGAGCTGGTGCAGTCTGCGCTAACAAACCTTAAGAGACTCACAGTTATGATGTGAACATTTAAAATTTTATTTTAAATCATAATTCAAACCATTGACTCGGAGAACAAAAGTCTAGTTTCAGGCTCCTGCATCAAGCAAATTCCCCAACCCCAAAACCACGCCGCAGGCCCTGGGAATCAGAGGTTTATAAAGGAAACGCTGACGCTGCCCTGGCCGGACCATCACAACAATGTCACTGGAACGAGTCCCCGCTCCCAGGGCCCGGCACCCGCAGCACGACACGGCCGCGCGGGACACGGGCTGCTGCAGCCGAAAGCCGAAGCACCCGGGGCTGCGGCTGGAAGCGCTCCCACAGCTCCTACTGCTCTCGCACACTCGAAGGGAAAACGCGCAGTTTTGCTTTGGGGACGATCAGCACTTTGAGGATAAACTGCGAAATCCCGGCGCTGCGGAACGGAGCCAGGGAGCTGCGCTGGACCCCGGCTACCAACCCC